ATGTAGTAAAGATGACGTTGCGCTGGAGCTTCACCTCCCACATCTCGTTCAACAGCGCCAGAGCCCTCTGCCACTGCTCTGCCTTCTCGCAAGCGCTGATCCCAGCGCTGTAGCTGATATCGTCGGGCTGCAGCTTGGCCTCCCACATCTCGCTCAGAAGCACCAGAGCCCGCTGCCACTGCTCGCCCTTCTCGCACGCGCTGATCCCAGCGTTGTAGCTGACGGTATTGTAGGATAAATCAGGGCTGACCCGTGGATTACGTCCACGACATCTGCTCGAGGTGGCGAGCGGGCCTGGGCAAACGTGTTTGCACCTGCCCGGTGCCTTTTACAGCCGCTTGATGTTGCTGAATGCTGCTTGTTGCCACTAGCGGCCTTTCGGTTGGTCCATTCTTCTGCTGCCGCCTGCGGCAGAGGCTTGCTACGGACTGGCACATCTGCTAGTGTTTGCCTGGTGGTGGATGTTGCCGCCTGCCTGCTGCTGCGTGCTGCAGGATGCTGGATCCTCCTCTATTTCTGTTCGTCCACCCTTCTCCCCCTCGATGTTCCATCGTGCCACCGTCGTTTCTACGACGACGTTTCCAAGAGCACTAGCATCCAGGGCCTCTCAGGGTTTCTGTTTGCCTCTTGCGGGTCTCTTGGGCTGTCCCGGCGCTGTCTCGGGCGCCTCTCGGTCAGTCTTGGGGCTGGGGCCCCTTGGGCCGCTCTTCGGGCTCTCTTGGTGTTCTCTTGGGCCGTCTGGGCGTCGCTGGGCCGTCCTGGGGCCGGCTTGGGGCCTCTTGCGGCCGTCTTGGAAGCCTTCTGGGGCGTCTAGGGGCAATATCAAAGGGTTGCAAAGTGTCGAGGGCTAAGCAAGGATGCCACCGTGCATCTGCTGTCGCTTGTTGCGCTCGGTTGCTTGCTGCCGTTTCATTGCCAGTCGCGCGTGATTTGTTTAGCCTGCACTGTCTTGCCGTTTGCGTGATGCTTGCTCGATGCTTGCTTGCAGGTCCTGCGAGTTAATCCCGTTTGCCAGGGCCCTCGGCGCGTGCAAAACGACAACTTCGGGCGCACGATAAGCCTCTCGCCTCTCGTCCGCTGCCCATGCCTTGAGAGCAGCTCTGGAGCCTCTTCTGGGAGCCCCCTGGAAGCCGTTCGGGGGCCCCTTAGGGGCCGTTTCGGCCTCCTGGGAGCATCTGGGGCCGCCTTGGGCGGCCTCGTGGGCCGTCTTGGGGCTGTCTCGGGTGGCTCTCGGGCCGTCTTGGGCGGCTCGTGGGCCATCTTGGGCGCCTGCTGGGCCATCTTGGATCCCTCCTGGGTGGTTGTGGGGCCTTTTCCGGATCCTCTTGGACGGCCTTGGAGCGTTCGGGGGAGCCCCAGCAGCCGTCTTTGGCCGGTCGTGGCTCGAAATGGCGAGGTGGGAATCATTCGAAAACCATACGAGAATCAATGACTTCGTTTGCCGCGGCCCGTCTGGACGGCCTCTGGGGCCGTTTAGGGGCCACATTGGGGTGCTGGACCATCTCGGAGCTTTCTGTGAGCCCTCTTGGGTGGTTCTTTGGGCTCGTCTGGGGGCTCCTGGGGACTCTCTCGCGCCGTCTTGGGTCTCTCTTGGACCGTTTGGGGCTCCTCTGGGGGCCGTCTTGGAGCACTCCTGAGCCGTCTTGGGGCCCTTTGCCAGAGCCTCTTGAGCCTTGGAGCATTCGCGGGGGGGGCCCAGGAGCCGTCTTGGGCCGCTCTTAGCTCGAAATCGCGAGAACCTGAAAATCATGCAAAAACCTTGTTTGAAAATCAATGATGTTTGGCCGCCGCGAGCCATCTGGACGGCATCTTGGGCCATCTTGGGGCCATGTTGGGGCTCTTGGGCTGTCTCGGAGCTCTCCGTCTTGGGCAGCTATTGGGGCCTGTTCAGGGGCTCCTGAAGGCTCTCTCGCGCCGTCTTGAAGCTCGCTTGGGCCGTTTGGGGGCTCCTCTGGGAGCCGTCTTGGAGCCCTCCTGAGCCGTCTTGGGGCCCTTGCCGGGGCTCATGGCCGGCCTTGGAGCATTCGGGGTGGGCCCCAAGAGCCGTCTTGCGAGAACCTGAAAACCGTGAAAATAACATTTAAAAAATCAATGATGTTTCATCTTGGGGCCATGTTGGAGCTCTTGGCTCGATCTCGGCACTCCCTGAAGGCGTCCCGAGCGTGCTCGCGCCGCCCGGAGGCCTGCCGGGCCGCGCCAGGGGCGTCAGGGGCCCGCCGAGGCCGCGCCAGGGGCCCGCCAAGGCCGATTTTCGACACTTGACCCGTTTTCCTTCCCGCACGCGCTTCTCCCGGCCACCCATGGAAAATCCACGGCTGATCGGTCAAGGCGTCGGTCCCAAACGCACATGTGTCGCCGACGCCTGCGGGTTTGCTACGGGGTCTGCTGCAGGTTTCGGGCTGCGGGGCTGGCGGCTGTCTCCGATTGTCTTGGGAGAGACTGAGCTATCTCGGAGTGGTCCCTGGAGGGTTATTGTGGCATCGAAGGCTTCCCGCAGTCCAGTCTCACTGCAGCCTCTTGCAGGAAGAGGCGGAAGAGGAGGAGAGCGGCATTGGAGATGGGAGGAGTGCAGGATCCCCGAGGAGGAAGCCGAAGTAGAGAAGACAGCAGAAGGTCCCTCTTGTAATCCCTAATCGGATGGGGGGGTGCAGGAGGAAGAGAGCAGTCCAGCGAGTGGGAGGTGCAGGCTCGCAGACGAGGAAGCCAGGGTAAAGAAGAGAGAAGAAGGTTCCCCTGGTCACCCGTAATCGCTGCGAGGATGCCCGAAACGTGCTGGGGTGCGGGGGGCACAGGAGGAGGGAGAGAGGAGCATGAGCGAAGGAGGCCGAGGAGGAAGAGAGTAGCAGGGGAGCGAGGGCGGTCTTTGGATTCCTTTGGAGGTTTTCAGAGACAGAAGAGAATGCGAGTGCTGCTGCAGGGGCTCCGAGATGTCTACATGTTGCCACCCCGAATCGGCTGTGTGGGGACCCCAGAGTGGCTGGAACTTGGAGACAGGGGAGCCAAAGAGAAGGATCAGGAGGGGAGGAGGAGGAGGAGGAGGAGGAGGAGGAGGAGGAGGAGGAGGAGGAGGAGGGAGGAGGGAGGAGCGAGAGAAAAGAGCTGAACGGGGAGGCTCGTTGGGCCTTATTGGTAAAAGGCTTTGTTGAAGGCTACATGGGAGACACAAGGGCGGGCGGCTCTCTTGGGAGCTCCGTCGGAATTCTCGGAGTATCTTGGGATGGTCCGGGGCGCCTCTGAGTGGCCCAGGGCTTCGTTCAGGTTCCGCGGCTTTTTGGGGGGCTTCTGGGGATCCAGAGACGGCGAAAGGGTACCGTGGCTGATGGCGTTCTGCTTAAAGCTCCTTGACACGTGTCGGAGTCTCTTGGGAGACTATGGGGCATCGGAGTGGTCCTGGAAAGGAGTGGTCCTGGGAAGGTTCTTGGCCCATTGGGAACTGCGGGAGGTCAGTCGTCTGGACGATCTTCAGACCCAAGACCCTCTTGGAGGCCTCTTGGGTGTATTTCTAGAGCTTCTGGGGCGTTTCTGAGCCCATTTTGGAGCGCTCTTGGACCATGGTGGGGGCTTGTAGGGACGCGTGCTGGGGCTGGTGATGTTGGGAGTCTTGGAACGTCTGGGGGCTATGTTAGATGGTTCGCGCCGATTGGAAGCCAGCTCGAGCCCTCTTCGGCAGCTCTTGAGGCCCTCTTGGGCCATTGGGGGGATCTCCTGAGCCGTCTCGGGGGCCTCTCGGGCTGTCCTGGGGCGATGTTGGCGGTCTCGGGCCGTCTTGGAACCCGCTTTAGGACCTGTTGAGAAGCTCATGGTGCCCTCTTGGGACTGTTTTGGGGGCCACCGGGGGCTCTATGATACTGTCGTGGGCTTCTCTTGGGCAGTCTTCGGGCCCTCTGGGGCTGTCTTGGGGCACTTGGCGGGGCCTCCTGGAACGTCTTCGGCCGTTCTTAATCCTAAATGGTGAGAATATAGAAGACCTTGCACAACTGCGTTCTTCCAACTGCAGATGGTTGGGTCTGTCGCCAGGCTAATTCCCAACCATCCTGTGGTGTTGGGTCATCGTTATGAAGAGACGGTTTCCGCGTTCCTCTCCTCTCCTCTCCGCCTCCTCCCCTTCCCCCCTCCTCCCATCATCATCATTATTCGTCGCAACCCTCACTGGCTTCGTGGCCCCATTGGAAGCTCCAGCTAAGGTCCCAGTGGCGCAGTCCGCATGGCGGCGCCGCCCCATTTTGGCACACCCCTCACACGCTTCGTGGCACCATAGGGAGCTCCACCGCAGGTCCAAGTGGCGCAGTCCGCATGGCGGCGCCGCCCCATTTTGGCACACACACACACACACACACATCACACGCTTCGTGGCCCCATTGGGAGCTCCACCTAAGAACCCAGGTGCGCAGTCCGCATGGCGGCGCCGCCACATTTTGGCACACGCCTCACACGCTTCGTGGCCCCATAGGGAGCTCCACTTAAGGTCCCAGTGGCGCAGTCTGCATGGCGGCGACGCCCCATTTTGGCACACCCCTCACACGTTTCGTGGCACCGTAAGGAGCTCCACCTCAGGTACCAGTGGCGCAGTCCGCATGGCGACGCCGCCCCATTTCGGCACACCCCCTCACACGTTTCGTGGCCCCAGTGGAAGCTCCACCTAAGGTCCCAGTGGCGCAGTCCGCATGGCGGCGCCGCCCTATTGTGGCACTCACACGTTTCGTGGCCCCATAGGGACCTCCGCCCTGCCCCATTTCGGCACACTCTTCACGCGCTCCGTGGCCCCATGAGGAGATCCACCGAAGGCGATACTAACAGCGACGGCATTCACAGCTGCATAGGGTTGGATCCTTCGCCAGGCTAACTTTTGAATGGCATGGCGCCTTCTTGGAGCACGTGCGAGCCGTTTCGGGGGAGCTGCTGGAGGCTCCCCGGAAGCCGCCCGGGAGCGTCCCAGGGGCCGTCCTGGAGCCTCTGGGGGGGGCGCCTCGGGGGCCTGCTGGCCGTGGGTGGGGGCGGGAGGGGCGGGGGGCGCTCCAGAGTTGGCCCTGTCGGGCCTGCCTTGAGGCCGTCTTGGGTGGCTGTGCGGCCGAGGAGGAGGAGGAGGAGGAGGAGGAGGAGGAGGAGGACGGAGAGGAGGAGGAGGACGGAGAGGAGGAGGAGGAGGAGGAGGGAGGAGGAGGAGGAGGAGGACGGAGAGGAGGAGGAGGAGGAGGAGGAGGAGGAGGAAGGGGAGGGAGGAGAGGAGGAGGAGGAGGAGGAGGAGGAGGAGGAGGAGGAGGAGGAGGACGAGGAGCAGGAGGAGCAGGAGGAGCAGGAGGAGGAGGAGGAGAAGAAGTCCCCGCAGCCGACTGGAAGGTCTCCTGGGCCGTCGTAGAGCTCTCTCGGGAGCTCCGTGGGCGCCCCGCGGAGTGCTCGGGAGGCTTCTCGGAGCGGGTCCGGCGCCCTGTGACCAGAGAAGCAGTCGCAAGAGGGAGCACGGAAACGATCTCGATGACATCGATAGTTCCCAACCATCGTGTGGCAACCATCGTGTGGTGATGGGTCCTCGCCTTGAACAGACAGCGCCCCGCGTCCTTCCTGCCTTCCTTCCTTCCTGCCTTCCTGCTTTCCTTCCTTCCTTCTCCCCCACCTCATCCCTGCCACTGCTCTCCGCATCAGTCTACCGTTTCGGCTCAGCCCACACACGCTGCGTGGCCCCATAGGGAGCTCCACCGAAGGTCCCAGTGTTGCAGTTCGCATGCGGGCGACACCCCAGCTTCGGCACAGCACTCACACGTTTTTGGGTCATACAGGGAACTCCACCTAAGGACCCAGTGGCGCAGTCCGCATGTGGGCGACACCCCCGTTCGGGCACAGCCCTCACATGTTTCGTGCCCCCATTGGGAGCTCCACCTAAGGCCACAGTGGCGCAGCCCGCATGTGGGCGGCACCCCTGTTTCGGCACACCTCTCACGTGTTTCGCGGCCCCATAGGGAGCTCCACCGAAGGCCCCAGAGGCGCAGCCCGCATGTAGGCGACATCCCCTTTTCGGCACATTCCTCAAACGTGTCGTGGCCCCGCAAGGAGCTCTGCCGAAGGCCCCACTGGCACAGCCCGCATGAGGGCGACACCCCCGTTTCGGTTTACCCCTTCACATGTCTCGTGGCCCCGTAAGGAACTCCACCGAAGGTCTGGGTGCTGCAGTTCGCATGTGGGCGAAATATCCTTGTCGGCGCACCCCTCACACGTTTCGTGGCACCGTAGGGAGCTCCACCGAAGGTCCCAATCGTGCAGTTCGCATGTGGGTGTCACACCCGTTTCGGCACACGCCTCACACGCTTCGTAGCCCCATAGGGAGCTCCAGAGAAGGTCCCAAGTGCTGCAGTTCGCCTGTGGGCGTCACGCCCGTTTCGGCACACCCCTCACACGCTTCGTGACCCCATAGGGAGCTCCAGCTAAGGCCTCACTTGCGCAGCCCGCATGTGGGCGTCGCCCCCGTTTCGACACACCCTTCGCACGGTTCGTGGCCTCAGAAGGAGCTCCGCGCAAGGTCCCACTGGCGCAGCCCGCACTCCCGTCTCGGCACACCTCTCCACACGTCTCGCGGCCCCGCAAGGGGGCTCTGAAAAGTTCGTCACTCCCGTTTCGGCACGCCCTCCACACGTTCCGCGGCCGCGCCGCATGCTCTGAAAAGGTCCCACTGGTGCAGCCCGCGTGTAGGCGTCACTCCCGTTCCGGCACAACTCTCTTAGAGGCACCCTAGATGGGGTCCGAGTAGACGGGGTCGAGGGATATGCATCAGCGATGCATCGGCGACGTCAGCGATGCACCGGCGACGTCGGTGTGGGGAAACACGGGCTCCGCATCGAGCCGCATCGTCGATGCATCGGCGATGCGGCGCGATCCTCCGACCCCGTCTACTCGGACCCCATCTAGGATTTCTTGCCAACTAGCCCCCCAGCGCACCAGAATTACTTGGAGCCGACGGTCAACCGTCAACCTTGGTTACGGCTGGGAACTCGTAGAGCTTCCTCGGGAATGCGGGCGAGGCAATCTCGCATTCCGCGCGCGCGAGGGTGCGGCTTCATGGAGGAGGACGTGCGTCGCGACACAGCTCGGAGAACTGCTGCGCAGCTGGATCCCGGGAGCGGGCTGGGGGCCGAGTCGGAGCGGACGTCCCCTCCCTTCGGCACCACTCACAATTGCGGTCCACCTCACTTCTCATATTCACGACCTCCCTGCCGTTATTCGTCCTCGTCCTTCTCGTCGACGTTCCAGTCCTCTTGCTCGCCCCCTGCTGCTTTTATCTTCTGCCTTTCGCTGTTGACAGCTGCGTATGGTCGGGTCCATCGCCAGGATCATGTTACATCCTCGTGGCCCTCGCGGAAGCTTTCTGGGAGCCTGGTGGAGCCCGGTGGGGGACCTCTCGGGCCGTCCGGGAGGCCTCTCGCGCTGCACCGCAACGCTCTGGGGGCCTTCCAGGGCACTCGCGGGGCTCTCCTGGGCCAGGACGGCGCCGTTCCACGAGCGGGGCCGCGGAGGCGCCGCCGCCGCGGGCCCACCTTGCGCGGGCCCCAGGTGTCCCTCTGGCACGCGCCGAGCCCGGTATTGCAGTACAGATGTCGTTGGGCGGAAGCCGCGCCTCCCGCATCTCGCTCAGCAGCGCCAGAGCCTGCTGCCACTGTTCGCCCTTCTCGCACGCGCTGATCCCAGCGTTGTAGCTGATAGATAGGGCTGACTCGTGGACTCCGTCCACGACATCTTGGGCCAGTCTTGGCTCGAAAAGGCCGTCTTGGGCCTGTCTTCGCTCGAAATGGCGAGGCGGAAATCTTTTACAAACCATAGAAGAGTCAACAATTTCGTTTGCCGCGGCTTCTCTGGAGCGTCATCCCGCGGTCTTGGGCCGTCTCAGAGGCCCTCTTGGACCGCTTCCTTCTCTTCGTCCGCCTTCCGCTCTACCTCCACCTAGACAGCCTTCGGAGCGTCACAAACGGCTGTGGTGGGTCTGCGGTGTACGTCTCGCCGCTTGCCAATTTTGAAAGCGCCTGGGGCCTTGAAAAAAGTCACCCAGAGGGCTCCGGTGACTTTTTTCCGGTTGCCTCTCCGAAGCCTGATGGCGGGCGCTGCCGTCTCCTTGGGAACGGTTAGTGGGCCTCTCGGGGGTTCTTTTCGAGCTCCTGGGGGCCTGTTGGGGCCTCGTTGGCTGTCTTGCGGCCTCCTAGGGGCCTCTTGGGGCCCTCTTGGGCCGTCTTGCGGCCTCCTGGGGGCCTTTCCTCTTGAAGTTATTTGGGGCGCCTCTGGGGCCGTCCCCGGGCTGTCCCCCCGAGCCTCTTCCGGGGGACAGCCCAGGAAATCTATTGTGCTTGCGTGCTGTGCGTGCGCGCTCCTGTGTGAGAGGTCGGAAGGGTGTCCCGACGTCACCGCTCGCTCTTGGGAGCTGTGCCTGGGAGAGCTCTCTACGCTGTGTCTCGCTCTTGTGAGCCTTGGTGAGAAGAGCTTTGTACTTCACCGATCGCTCTTTTAGTGGGCGTCTCTGGGCCTGCTTGGTGGTCCTTGTGGGGGTCTGTTTCGGGCCATTCTGAAGCTTTTTGGGACTGCTCTGGGAGCGTTTTGGGACGGTTTGGGGCCTCTTGGGGCCGTCACGGGGCGTCCGGGAGGCCTTGGACCGTCTTGGAGCTCTCTTGAAGCTGCCTGAGGCCGTCTTGGGAGCCTCTTGGGGCCCCCTCGGAGCTCTCTTGGGGCCGTCTTGGGGTTCTGTGAGGCCGTTTCAGGGCTCTCTGGCGTCGTCTTGGGGCTCTTGTGGGCCGTCTTGGAGTCCGCTTAGGGGCCGCTGGCGTCTTCTTGGGGCGATGTGGGAGGCCTCTTGGCGTGTCCTGGGCCGCTGAGGAGCACACAAGGCGGGCATGCTGTAAATATAAGTTTTCCCACGGGAATTTGACGATTTGTGCCTCTTTGGCGTGCGGTCGGAGAAGGAAGGGAAGAGGGAACGCGGGGACCGTCCTCTTCAAAACGAGGACCCAACACCACAGGATGGTTGGGGCAAAACTGAAAATCTATGGTGTTAGCCTCGGGGGACCGTCATCGGGGTGCGGCTGGGCCATATTTGGAGGCACCTGGCCCGTCGTCGGGCCGTCCTGGGCTGTCATAAAGCTCCTTTCGGGCTCTCTTGGGACGTCCTCACGCCCTCCGGAGCGTCTCGGCGCGATATTCGGGCTGCCTCAGGCCGTGCTGGAGCCACCTTGGGGGCTCTCGGGAGCCGTCGGAGAGCGGCGGGGCGCTCCAGGCAGTCGGGGGCAAATGGCGCACTGCGGGCGTATCTCGCACGCGCAACGACCAGAATTGTTGTATAGATGACGTTGGGATCCAGCTTCGCCTCCCACATCTCGCTCAGCAGCGCCAGCGCCCGCTGCCACTGCTCGCCCTTCTCGCACGCGCTGATCCCAGCGCTATAGCTGACTATGGCAGACCCGTGGACTCCGTCCACAGCATGCGGCCCGATCTGGTCACAGTTCCCCCGTCGGCCACGAAAGCTTACTCGCATGCAAGGGTGAGGCTCGATTGTATGTGCGACTTCCTGTCTGCAGTGCTGCCGACGACGTTGCTGGCTGGGTGGCCTACAACTCGTAGCCTGATCACCTGATTTCTTTGTTGCTTGCTTCATTGCTTGCTCCTCCGCTCGCTGCCGCTTGCTGCCGCTTCGCCTGCTGCTTGGGACCGTCTTGAGGTCATCTTGTAATGGCGCGTTGCGTTACCAACCCCCTCCCACCCACCCCTCAAGGCTGCCCGCTATTCTTCGCCCGATGTCGACGCACGTATCTCTGGCAATTTTTGGCCGCTCAAGCATTTATCATTAGAGTAGGCCGTCTTCGAGGCGCGCCGGGCCACTCCGAGGCCGTGAGAGGCCCTGCGGGTGAGGAAGATGCCAGGGGGCAGGAGAAACGGGCGAGGAAGAGTGCGGGGAGGTGAGCAAGGAGAGAGGGGCCTTGAGCAGTGGGCGAGGGAGCGAGGAGAGAGGGTCCAAGAACGACAAGCGCACGAATCTCCCAGTGGACTCGACGCGCGCGCGGCCAAGCCTTTCAGCAAGGAAGGGGGGGATAGTTCCGAAGAGCGCATCTCCAGTCCTTATGCGCCGAGGCGCTCCTGGAGCCGCGGAGAGCTCGAGGACAAAATTCAACGCCTGGGCGGTGTGCTCAATCTGTCCAGCGGCAGCCCGGAGGCCTCAGCGATGGACCCCGGGAGCCGCGGACAAAATTTCACACGCCACCCTCGCGCTAAAAATTCTGTCCTCGAGCTCGGGGGGGCGCGGGAGCCTCACGCTAAATCTCGGCCTCGGGCCCAGACTCCGCGTCAAACTCCGCCCTCGGGCGGTCATGCCGCGCACTGCGGCGGCCTTGGCGGGCCTCCATGGGCTCGGGTCGGAGCCGTCGTGGGTGGCGTCGGGAGGCTCCTGGGGCGTCTTGGGGCTATCCTTGAGGGTGTCTGGGGCCGTCTGGAGCCATTCCAGGGCTCCATGCGGGCATCGTCGGCGGCCGGAGCCTGAAAAAAGCTGAACGGTAAAATCTTTCGTTCAATATATATATATATATATATATATATATATATAGAGAGAGATATAGATATATATATATATATATATATTTATATATATATATATATATATATATATATATATATATATATATATATATATATATATATATATATATATAGCTATATGAACTATATATTCTCATGCATATATATAGATATAGCTATATATATAAACATATGCATATATAGATGTGTGATTGTATATAAAAATTCTGATTAAAACCAAAACACACACACAAAATAAAACAAACAAAAAAGAAAAAGAAATTATCCTGGCGAAAGACCCAACCATAAGCAATTGTTGGTAACGCGTTGTGGGTGCCGCTTTCGGTGGGGCTCCATATGGGGCCACGAAGCGCTGCCTTGGATAGGGGGAACCGCATGCGGACTGCGCCACCGGGGCGGGCCTTCGGTGGAGCTCCCTATGGGGCTACGAAACGCTGCCCTGGGTGGGGGAACCGCATGCGAACTGCGCCACTGGGGCCTTCGGTGGAGCTCCCTATGGTGCCACGAAACGCTGCCCTGGGTGGGGGAAGCGCATGCGAACTGCGCCACGGGGGCTTTCGGTGGAGCTCCCCATGGGGCCACGAAGCGCTGCCCTGGGTGGGGGAACCGCATGCGAGGGCAGCCACTGGGGCCTCCGGTGGAGCTCCCTATGGGGCCACGAAACGCTGCCCTGGGTGGGGGAACCGCATGCGAACACCCCCACTGGGGCCTTCGGTGGAGCTCCCTATGGGGCTACGAAACGCTGCCCTGGGTGGGGGAACCGCATGCGAACACCCCCACTGGGGCCTTCGGTGGAGCTCCCTATGGGGCCACGAAACGCTGCCCTGGGTGGGGGAACCGCATGCGAACACCCCCACTGGGGCCTTCGGTGGAGCTCCCTATGGGGCTACGAAACGCTGCCCTGGGTGGGGGAACCGCATGCGAACACCCCCACTGGGGCCTTCGGTGGAGCTCCCTATGGGGCCACGAAACGCTGCCCTGGGTGGGGGAACCGCATGCGAACACCCCCACTGGGGCCTTCGGTGGAGCTCCCTATGGGGCTACGAAACGCTGCCCTGGGTGGGGGAACCGCATGCGAACACCCCCACTGGGGCCTTCGGTGGAGCTCCCTATGGGGCTACGAAACGCTGCCCTGGGTGGGGGAACCGCATGCGAACACCCCCACTGGGGCCTTCGGTGGAGCTCCCTATGGGGCCACGAAACGCTGCCCTGGGTGGGGGAACCGCATGCGAACACCCCCACTGGGGCCTTCGGTGGAGCTCCCTATGGGGCCACGAAACGCTGCCCTGGGTGGGGGAACCGCATGTGGACACCCCCACTGGGGCCTTCGGTGGAGCTCCCTATGGGGCCACGAAACGCTGCCCTGGGTGGGGGAACCGCATGCGACACCCCCACTGGGGCCTTCGGTGGAGCTCCCTATGGGGCCACGAAACGCTGCCCTGGGTGGGGGAACCGCATGCGAACACCCCCACTGGGGCCTTCGGTGGAGCTCCCTATGGGGCCACGAAACGCTGCCCTGGGTGGGGGAACCGCATGCGAACACCCCCACTGGGGCCTTCGGTGGAGCTCCCTATGGGGCTACGAAACGCTGCCCTGGGTGGGGGAACCGCATGCGAACACCCCCACTGGGGCCTTCGGTGGAGCTCCCTATGGGGCCACGAAACGCTGCCCTGGGTGGGGGCAACACGCATGCGAACAACCGCCCCCCACTGGGGCCTTCGGTGGAGCTCCCTATGGGGCCGAAACGCTGCCCTGGGTGGGGGAACCGCATGTGGACACCCCCACTGGGGCCTTCGGTGGAGCTCCCTATGGGGCCACGAAACGCTGCCCTGGGTGGGGGAACCGCATGCGAACCCCCCACTGGGGCCTTCGGTGGAGCTGTAACCGCATGCGAACACCCCCACTGGGGCCTTCGGTGGAGCTCCCTATGGGGCCACGAAACGCTGCCCTGGGTGGGGGAACCGCATGTGGACACCCCCACTGGGGCCTTCGGTGGAGCTCCCTATGGGGCCACGAAACGCTGCCCTGGGTGGGGGAACCGCATGTGGACACCCCCACTGGGGCCTTCGGTGGAGCTCCCTATGGGGCCACGAAACGCTGCCCTGGGTGGGGGAACCGCATGTGGACACCCCCACTGGGGCCTTCGGTGGAGCTCCCTATGGGGCCACGAAACGCTGCCCTGGGTGGGGGAACCGCATGTGGACACCCCCACTGGGGCCTTCGGTGGAGCTCCCATGGGGCCTTTCGGTGGAGCTCCCTATGGGGCCACGAAACGCTGCCCTGGGTGGGGGGTGGAACCACGAAACGCTGCCCTGAACCGCACCCACCCCCACTGGGGCCTTCGGTGGAGCTCCCTATGGGGCCACGAAACGCTGCCCTGGGTGGGGGAACCGCATGTGGACGAACCAACTGTGGGGCCTTCGGTGGAGCTCCCTATGGGGCTACGAAACGCTGCCCTGGGTGGGGGAACCGCATGCGAACACCCCCACTGGGGCCTTCGGTGGAGCTCCCTATGGGGCCACGAAACGCTGCCCTGGGTGGGGGAACCGCATGCGAACACCCCCACTGGGGCCTTCGGTGGAGCTCCCTATGGGGCCACGAAACGCTGCCCTGGGTGGGGGAACCGCATGCGAACACCCCCACTGGGGCCTTCGGTGGAGCTCCCTATGGGGCCACGAAACGCTGCCCTGGGTGGGGGAACCGCATGTGGACACCCCCACTGGGGCCTTCGGTGGAGCTCCCTATGGGGCTACGAAACGCGTGAGAGGTGTGCCGAGAGCAGAGGCAAGGAGGGGGAGGAGGGAGGAGGGGGAAGAGGAGGAGAGGAGAGGAGAGGAGAGGACGCGGGCACCGTCTCTTCAAAACGAGGACCCAACACCACAGGATGGTTGGGAACAAAATGACGGGATGTGAATGGTTTTGACGTCTTCGGAGTGTCGCTGGAGCCCTCGGATTTTGAGAATCGGGCGACTCGGCGCGTCCGTGTGTGCTGGAGGATCAGATTCCACGCCTGGGCAGCGTGTTAAAACTTGTCCGCGCCAGGGCCGGGGCCTCAGCGCTCGGCCCCTAGGGGCACGGACAAAATTCAAACGCGGCACGTTCGCACGAAATCTCGTCCTCGGGCAAAGAAGGCGCGTTGAATTTCGCCCTCGAGCTCGCCAGAGGCGCCTGGGGGGCGTTTTCGCACGCACGCATGCCTGCAATGTAGGTAAGACTAGGGCGAACCCGTGGACTTCGGGCTGTCGTCGGGCCGTCTTGGGCGGCCCTTGGGCCATCTTGGGCGCCTCATGGGCCACCTCGGAGCCCTCCTGGATGGTGGTGGGGCCTTTTCCGGATCCTCTTGGACGGCCCTGAAGCGTTCGGGGGAGCCCCAGCAGACGTCTTGGGCCAGCCTTGGCTCGAAATGGCGAGAAGGTGGAGATCTCCTTTAAAACCAAACGATCGGAAAATCAATGCTGTCGTTTGCCGCGGCCCGTCTGGACGGCCTCTGGAGCCGTGTGGGAGCCATGTTGGAGGCGCTGGGCCGTCTCGGAGCTCACCGCGAGAGCCCTCCTGGGCGGCTCCCGCTCTCGAGGGCTCTCTCGCACCGTCATGGGTCTCTCTCTCTCTCTCTCTCTCTTTATCGGGTCACTTAGGGGCTCTGCCGGGAGCCGTCCTGGAGCCCTCCTCAGCCGTCTTGGGGCCCTTGCCAGAGCCTCTTGTAGGGGGCCACATGCGAATCCTATCCCTACCCCCCACGATTTCTCAGGGGGAGGATGGGGTTCACTTTGCTCGGGAGCTCCCGAACGAAGTGAATCCCACCCTCCCCCTCAGAAATCGTGGGGGGTAGGGGTAGGGATCGCATGTGGCCCCCTA